TATATTTTATTTTTATATTTTAGCTTTATTTTTAATGACTCTAATACATATTTAATTATAAATTTTTATTACAAAACTATTTTAATAGTTTTAGTTAACAGTAACTGAGCCCAATACAACAACATGAAGAATTTATACCATAACTGTTTTTTTTTTTATTCATAATTTCCAATTTTCTTTTTTTTCATTTTCATTTTTTCTTAAGTTTCATCTATTTTTTCCTTTTTTAAAATTTTTTATTTCTAATTGTCATTCAAGTTTTAAGTTTCATCTAAAATTTATTAAATATTAAATATTTATATAATTTTAGCTTATATTTTATTTTTATATTTTAGCTTTATTTTTAATGACTCTAATACATATTTAATTATAAATTTTTATTACAAAACTATTTTAATAGTTTTAGTTAACAGTAACTGAGCCCAATACAACAACATGAAGAATTTATACCATAACTGTTTTTTTTTTATTTTTTTTATCTCCAAACAGCCAATTAGCCAAACAATGATTCTTGATAAGACAAGGGCTGTTTGCTGAATCTTTTTGTCAAAAAAAGAATGGACAGTGACTATATTAGAGCCATATAAACTCCCATAAAGCCCTGGGAGGCAGCAGCTAATCAAGGCTTTATGTAGCAGTGTGTTTATACCCATGACGTCTTAAAGTTTCAAATCACTCTGTTCATTGTTTTAATTAGTCAAGGGAGAGCAGGCAAAATGCCAGCTAATAAAAAGAGACTGTCACATTAGTGCTAAACACAATCTTAGTGTGTTTCAACTTCAGTCATAAAACTGAGTCTATCCTCCAGCCCAGATGCGGTTTTACTCTGTTTTTAGGAGTGTGATGAGAAATGACGCCTGTGGAGCATAACAGACTTCATCAGGACAGACAGCCGAGAGCCACTTCTTATCTTTTAGACAAGGACATGGTGGCCATAAAGATGTGAATGCTTGGGTGGCATGAGAGAGCAGTCATCAGACTCAGAGACTGACAGAACGGGCCACTCAAAATGATTCAGCACACGCTGCACAGATTCAATCCATCACACATGGAAGTGATGTACGAGTGAGCCGCTCTCAGCCCAAACTCATCTCCTCTCATCTCTCCTCCGCTCCCCGCGGCCCAAATACAACAGAAAGCGCTCCATTTAACATTTTTGAACAGAGAACAAGCAAGCGAACTGCTGCTTATCGATTCTAATATGGAAACGGCTCCTGTGCCCAGCTGGCCTTCATTACACAAAAGAAATACACATACTGAGATGACGATGGAGATTTTATCATCTTTACTTACAATAACTATTGTTTGATTCATTTTTCCTTAGCAAAGGATGTCTTTTATATCAAATTTGCAGTTTTCACAAACTTTTATCTTACTTTAGTCTATAGAAAATATTATATCACCATACAAGGGTATAAATCTGCCACTGCTCCAGTTTCACAGGGTGTACCTCAAGGTTCAGTTCTTGGTCCACTTCTGTTTATCATTTATATACAGTATATCCACTTGGTGACATCATATGCATGCATGGACTTCAATTTCATTGCTGTGCTGATGACATTCAAATTTACCTATCCACCAGCTCTGATAGGTCATCACTGCCTGACTCACTTACTGCATGTATCAGGGATATCAAGCATTGGATGTCCTTGAATTTCCTTAAACTAAATAATAACAAAACTGAAATATTGATGATTGGCTCTACTACCTCAGTCAAAAGGATGGACCTGTCCTTTGAAATTGACGGGGTTCATGTTAAGCCTTCTTCATCTGCCCGTAATCTTGGTGTCTTATTGGACTCATCTCTATCTTTTGCCTCTCATATTTATTCTGTTGTTAAAACCTCTTTTATTCCATCTTTGTAATATTGCACGTCTTCAATCTTCTCTAACTCTAGCTGATGCTGAAATCTTAATTCATGCATTAATCACATCACGTCTGGATTATTGCAATGCTCTATTTCTTGGTCTGCCTAAAAAACTTATTGCAAGGTTACAGTATGTTCAAAACTCAGCAGCAAGAGTTCTCACCTCCACCAGGCGTTCTGCTCACATTACTCCTCTACTGCATGATCTTCACTGGCTACCTGTGGCATCACGTATTCACTTTAAGATATTACTTCTAACGTATAAGGCATTAAATGGTCTTGCGCCTCCATACCTGTCTGACCTTTTTTTTAATATGTATTTTGGATAATGTGGCTATATGTGGCCTTATGTGTTTGTATTGTGTATGTGGGTGTGCAAATGTTTTGTATAGCACTATGAAAAGTGACCTTGAGCTATGGAAAGGCGCTATATAAATAAAACTGCTTCTTCTACTTTAGTTTATTTCACAATATTTATTCAATGATGGGCACTTCTGAACTTGTAGACTCTTAGAAATTCTCTCACATTTCAAAATGTGATTTCCACCATGTCTCAAATTATGTATTGTATTTAATAGCATTTAAAGCATCATAACCAGTATTTTATCGTATATCTAAATACACAATTAAATATTATTTCCCCACTTTTGCATAATTTGAAAGATTTATAGTTTAATTGGAAACTACGCACAGCAAAAATATTGTATTTTTATTTTTATACATTTTTTTCACACATCACATGCTTTTCACTGTAACTGTTTTTTTCTTGGTAGCCAAGAACACTAACCTTTGAAAAAATTAATTAGTGGCAAAACTATGACATAAACAGATTATATTAATACAAAATGATATAAATGCATATGAATATAGTGCCTTCTCTTTCTGTTTTCCAATCTATGCTTAAATCTTATTTATTTGGCAGGTGACGATGGCTTAAAAAATATATATATATTTTTTTTAATTGCCAAATGTTTGAGTCAAATGTTTTATAGCATTGTTTGTTAATTAATTTGTTTATTCATTTATTTGTCTTTTAATGCCCTTAAGGTAATTTTATGTACAGCACTTTGGTCAACCCATGGTTGTTTTTAAATGTGCTTTATAAATGAATTAATTAATGTTTGTATAATGAATTCTCACATTTTAAGATTAAATAGTAAAACAATGATGTCTATACATGACAGCCATCTAAACAGTGTAAAAAAAAAAAAATTTTAAATAAATTGTTATGTAAAGTTATGTAAGTAAAAGAACTTGGAAATCTCTTATCCAAGATAACAATAATAATAATAATAATAATAATAATAATAATAATTGTTTACATCATTTGTACTATTGTTATTGTTATTTTATTTTGCCAACAAAAATATTTTTGTCATGCTAATAAAGCTGACTAAACTGAAAGTGAATTGAGATTAGCAGTCAACTTGCAATAAGTTTCTACTGCGTGACTGATGTGTAAATGTATTTACGCAAACTGTCAAGTTAGTGTGACAAATAGATGTCCATGTATGACGACTAATGACTTTAAGTCTGCATGAGTGAACGTGTTTATCTGATAATAATAACAAATGTGCAGAGATGCAAGAATCTTGCTCAAGACTCCTCGTCTCCACACAGATAAGACAGGAATGCAGCTGACGAATGGAAAAAGATGTGTGAGTTTATCTGCTGCGAGGGAGAAAGAAAACCCAAAATAAGCGTGTGTGAGCAGCAGACGAGGTTCTCCACCCTTCAGAGAAAAAGAGCAGAGATGAACACATCACCGAGGGCAGCCAACGGGAACGAGGCAGATCCTTCGAGGACGCATCTGAACTTTTCTGCAGTTTGACATGCATCTCGTTCTGTTCCTTGAGTTCTGACATTTATGAGGCACAGGTCTCTTAGCATCACACATGCTGCAAGTCATGCATGCGGTGTAATTCCTTGTCACACACACACACTAAAGTAGTCAGAGAGTTGGCGTGCTCCTGCAGGCTAAACGCTGAATAACAATCCTACAGCAGCTCTCCACGGCCGGCTGCTCTCTCCCATTAATACTCAGCAAGGATTACAGCACCACTACAGCTCCTGATCCATTTCATCAAAAACCAATTGCTCTCAAATACATATATATTAATATTAACTTCATTTGAATAACACTCGGTGAGTTCAGATCATCCCTCTGCAAGCTGGAATTACACTCTTATGAATAAAACTCTTCCCACTTGTTCTCTGACTTCACTTTTGTCTGATTTTGGTCGGATTGAGATGACTACTAACATTTGATGTATTCAGTAATATTTTATGTATCAAATTGCATGCAGTAAAATGTGGTTGGTGGTTGAAATGCATCAATTTAAAATATATACAGCACAAATGTATTCAGTTGGAATGAGTCAATAGGAACTTTATATTGAGAAAGGACAAATATATCAAAAAGATGTATATCTATCAAAGAGGTCAAAATGTGGGAAAACTGTGACAAAAATGAAGAATGTGTAGTTCACTTTGCAAATTAATAAAACAATTTTAATATAAGGTGATAAACAAATATATTAATCAAAAACAATTAATAATTTGTATATGTAATACTTGAAACAGTAGTATTAATGTATGAAAAGTGTATTTTTCAGTTATATATGACAGTCTAAAGTGACTGTTTTGATTTTGATTTTTATCTTTTGAATAGATTAAACTTAGTAGATGAAGGTAACACTTTAGTTTACAATAAGGTTCATTTGTTAACATTAGTTAACTGCATTAACTAAAGAATTTATCAATCTTAATGTTGATTGTAAAATTTGTAATACATTATTAAAATCAAAAATTTGAGCCAAAATGAACTAACAACGAGTAGTTGTAATTGCATTAACTCATTTTAACAAAGATTAATAGATACTGTAACAAATGTATTGCTCATTAATAGTTAATGCATTACTAATGTAAAGTCTTACCTATTAGAATGAAAAAAGGGAAAAAGTGTAGGTAAAATAAACTTACTCACCCTACACCTTTTTAGGTTAATATGCAAAATTTAGTATATTTATTATGGACAATTGTGTATGAGGACCGAAATAAATGTTTTGTCAAAATTTGGGGATCCATATACAATGTGACTTGGTTGCACATTTTCTATTTTCTATGTGAGTACCTGTGCCTCGGGCAAGGCCACGTCCAGTATGATGGGCTGTCCGCGCGGCTCTCCGTTCTCCAGCCGTGAGTAAACCACCTGGTAGCCGCGGATTTGTCCGTGCTGCTTCTGCTGCAGAGGAGGCTTCCAGGACACCCGCAGGGCCGTGGAGTTCACATTGTCCACCTCAACCCTGCGTGGAGGGGCGCCAGGCACTGTGGGAGGGAGAGAAGAATCGTTTAGAGCTCAATCACACACTCACAACACACTCAGGTCATTTAAAGGTACAAACCTGCTCCCAGGCTACAGCCAACACATTTGAACAACTTTTTAGTACTGCTAAAAATCTGCTCTCTGTAATTCACTTTAGACATTATATTTCTCAAAAAGTTAACATATGATAAAAAAGTATGTATATTTGTTAAAAAAATTATATTTTGGCAATTACGTTTTGGCAATTTCTTAAGTTTTCAAATATTAATATTAAAAGCCTGAGCTTGGGACAAATAAAAAAATTTAATCTATTTATGTTGACATATAAAAATAAAATATTTATGGTATTTTAATAATAATATAAAATACATATTTCTATTAATATAATAATATTTAAAATTATATTTTACAATCAATTTGTCATATATTAATATTAAAAGTCTGACTCTGGGACAAGGGTAAATCAATATAACAATACAATCTATATAATAACAATAAAAATAATATGTAAAATAAAATAAAAAATGTAAAAATAAAATGAAATAATATTAATAATAATAATAAACTAGGTATGCAGTTATCTAGCCTCTATAATTCACTTTAGACATTACATTTCTCAAATACACAAAAGCCTGCAAAAATTAAAGGGATAGTTCACCCAAAAAAGAGCATTCAGCAGTAAGACCAATGTCGCACCAAATCTGTATGACTTTCTTTCTTTGTTTTGAAGAATATTCACACTCCAAAAATAAATGCATCATGAAAGCTCTCATGAAATAATTTAGACTGAAATACCAGCTTTTTGTTCATTAAAAATAATAACAATAAATAAAAATAATAATTACAATTTTTGTGCCTTTTTAGACCTTGGTGGTCACCATAAACTTTAATTGCATGGAAAAAATCAGTGTAAATATATATGTCATTCAGGTTTAAAATTACATAAGGGTGAACTATCCTTTTGACATACATTTCACAAATACAAATGTGTTGCATTGAGAGCCTGGGAGACAGGCTTCACCAAACCCACATAACGCTCCGGGCCAGCTCAGCTCCCTCTGGAGTTTGGGCTGACATGAGTGCAAAAGAGCAGCAGTTCAGTAGATGTTAATGACAGTCAATTGATAGTCAATAGAGGAGGCAGTGAAGGGAGGGAAGACAGGAGTGAAGGTTAAAAAGCACAGCATTAAGAGATTAATAACCAGATAGAGAACAGCCTCTCCCATCCCAGAAGTAACAGCTCAGAGCGCAGAAGATCTATGGAGGCTCGAGTGCTGAACGTCAGCAAAACAGGCTGCGCTTAATTGGAGTCATTTAACTGTATAAATGTGCTTGGCGCTGGCTGGAATTCAGCCTTGACCTTCAGACGAGAAAAAAGTCAATGCCTGAAAACAGATAAACAAAACTATAGTGCACTTCTGCAGATGTGTGACCCGAGCTGGAACGGAAGCATTGACACGGTCAATTTTAACAGCATGTTTGTGCAAGTTTAATACAAGTTCAGCTCAATCGACACCCTTTGCAGCATAATGTCAATTACCACAGACACAAATTTGGGGAAAAGATTTGAACTTCCAATGGAGTAAACTAGGCCAGCGTTGCAGGGAGTTGAAAGCTAAATGAATAATTCAGTCTTGCACGTTTCATGTGAAAGTTCGCTGGTTTACTGGCCTTACGTATTCTTGACATTGTTGAAAAATTGCATCTGACTTTACACAGACCAGGTGAGTAATCGACTCTATCACACTAGCATTTATGTTCAATTCCTCTCATTACTCTTTTGAAACTCTGTGTATTTTAATTAGGGCTGATCATTTTCAAACTTTTTATTTACAGAGCAGAAATATATTAAAAGAATTATCTTTCTAATTAATATAATTATTCTAAATAAGCATCATCATTCAATTTCATAATCACAACAACTCAACGTTCTTCATTGTTTACACTTTTTTACCAATGAATAAACATGCCTTTTCTAGTTTTTATTATTTTTTACTGACAAATAGCAATTTTCATCCATATTACATCCCAATTTCCATCCAATCCATATTATTTAAAAAAAATTTTTTAAATGTAAATGACTTAAGATCAATGTTTTTTTTTTTTATCCATTTCCATTACTTTACCAGGTCTACAAATCACACTTTAAAAATTCCCTCATACATTTGAGATAAATATCTCAAATGAAGC